CCTACATTTTTCTGTCCTCTGTTAATGAGGATAAAGATTATAATTACTCCATTGTAATTGATATTATATTTGAAGCATAACATAATTAATAACATCTGAATATTGGTGTTCTTCAAGGAATATTTGAAGCAGTTTGACAGATTTTAATGAAATCTGACAGTTTCATATAGTGAATATTAAGATGTGACTGGATTTGGGGATCTCTATCTCTTTTTTTAGTTTAATGTGTGGGAGTCTTCATTTAAACTGAATGAATCAGATTATTTTATCTTATTTTTTTGTGCATTTTGTTCTACTGTGGAGTGGAATATAAATACTAAATGAAAGGTAGTAGAAAGGGTAGCAGGCAGCTTCTTTCATTGAGTAAATTTTTTTATTTGTTTCATTTTATTTTATAATACAAATCTTTATTCAAACGGATGTGCACCATTGTAAGAATGAAGTTGAAGAGAAATGATTTTATTTTAGTGAAGAAAATTAGTCGGAACACAAATAAAACTTTTTACAGGAAAATTCCAAACTGTCTTTGTTACTAGAAACAAAAACAAATAAAAAGATGAGAATGCTAGTTTGATTAAAATTCGCTAATGCAATATTATCTTATCTCAGATAAAGAAAAAGAAAAATTCTTAAAATATCTCAATATAAAAATGTTTTTTTGTTTTTTTTTTGCACTATAAACAACAAAAATAAGGATGTTGGTCTGAACAAATTCTTCAAGTGTAATGACACCTTGTCCCAGAAAACAGAAACTCAAATAGTAATTTATTTATTTAATCTGCTAAATAATGGATCATTGTGTTAGTGTGTGTGTGTTTCCTTTCTGTGACTGAGCTGTCCCTAGTTTCCTGAACCATCCTGGTGAGTATTGTATTTGTTCACATCAAAGTAACCCTTCTCCCAACTCCATATCCTATCTGTTTCCAAAAGACTCAGAATTTCATCAAGGAATGACTACAAAAAAGAATAAAAAAAAAAACACAAAATATCAAGCAGCCATTTTTGTTGATCTATAGTCATTGTTTGTTGTTTTGAAACAGAGAACAGAAATAACTTGTTATTTCTGTTGCAGAAAGTGTCCACCCAGGTAAATGCTTTCATTTACAATATAATTGTCAGTAGAGATCTTTTTTTAATTTTTTTTTTCTATCATCAATATACTCAACATAAAAAAAATATTTAGGCATATGCATAAAAAGTGTTACTACTGATATATATATACATACATACACCTATACACAAACATGCATTTGTATCCTAACACATGCATAGATATGGGAATAAAAGTTATTTCTGCTGTATATAGTGTCACACACCCATGCACACATTATCTGTATATTTGTAGCACATACATACAGATACAGAGTTGTAAATCTGTGTGGAGGTTTCAATACCACACACACACAAACACATATGTATATATATATATATATATATATATATATATATATATATATATATATATAAAATAATTAGTTAACATTCCTCAGATTTTTGACAAACAATAAGAAACATTGTATTTCACCAAAAATGCTTGACCAGAACAATTCTTGTAGGTAAAGTTTTTAAATCAATTCATCTTTATAATCAGTGCTATATCTCAAGAGATAGAGCATTATAAATTTGTAATAATAAGAATGAATATATTTTTAATTTATTATTTCATAAATATATATATATATATATATATATATATATATATATATATATATTTATTGTGTATTTAGGCAGCAATACCTCATTTATATGTGTTTCGTTAAAGACGATAGACAAACTACTGTGATTAAGCTTTTTATTTAATTTTTCTTGTGTTCGAATGAGTGTTTTCTTTTCTGGACTCAGAGTGTGTAGAAACTGTCTAAATATTCTGTAATTCTGAGTGCTTTCAGCTATACTTTTAGCCATTATGAAGGATGATTTTATTTTTAATTTTTAACTGGTTGTATAGGTTGTGTATATGTATCTAGAGTTACAGGAATGTTTTATTTTTTGAGCATAGCACATTGTGACTGTGTTCATAGTTAATATTATTGAGTGTTGGCTTTTACTTATGTATTATTTAAAAAATTTTTTACATGTGGATGAAGTTATTATGCTTTTATTTTCTACTAGTATGTTTCGGATGGAGTCTGGTAAGTTTGTGTGTGTGTTTAAATGGGTTTGATGGAGCTGTTGGTCAGATAGGTATAATTAAGTCATCTGGATAAGCATGTAGTAGTGTGATCAATGTAATTATTTATGAGGTCGGTGTGATAAGGAACACAGTTCCTTAAGAGGAATTTGAATTCATAAATAATGTTTGTTCTTTGTAGTTTTTGACTTTGTGGGTGTGTTATTATTTTTGATGTTATGGTTATCTTTTTAAAATTTTTTGTAGTAGATAATTTAATTTTTATGTTCAGGTCAGCTGGGGTAGTGCATTTCTTTACATGGCCTGGTGATTGCATTTATCATGAAACAGCCTCTGAGTGTTGACTTCACTGTCCACTTTTATTTTTATATATGCTCTATCCCTGATATTGAGCACTTTAACATATAAACATACCATACTTTTATCTATCTATCTATCTATATATATATATATATATATATATATATAATAAAAAGTCTTAAACACTAATATTCCATGGTCATAATTTATTCCATTGGAATCGTAAATACAATACAATCCATGTATATATATTTATATATTTTGTACAATTCCAGTGGATTATTTATTTTTCAACAATCTCTTTATTTGTGAATGAACTTAGTTTATTGGTGAATATCAAGCAGAAAGACTAAAAATTTTACAGGGAAATTTCAAATCCAATTGATCTACATATACATACATACATATATATATATATATATATATATATATATATATATATATATATATATATATATATATATTACAGTAAGTTTCATCCTGTACAAGTCTTTGGGGCTATACAAGGTAGAAGGTTACATAAAGTTATCAGCGAAATATCCTCTTGAGAGTTTATTCCACAGGGCAGCAATTCACAGGAGGAAGCCATTTGAGTGGATCTTACTTCTTACCAATGGAACACAGAGAGAATGTGGGTGCTACAATGTAAGTGGCATGGTTGGTCCTTGCCATTAAAGTTAGGCCTGGTGGAACCAAGGAATATAGTTCTTCTGAGTACTTTCTGTGAAAGTAGTGATAGAGCAGTAAGAGGCTTGTCACAATCCACCTGTAAGAGAGAGGTGGAAAGTAATTTGTCACTCACAAGGAGATGCTTTTTGACTCTGTCAAGGCTAGAAAGTGCAGTCTGTGCAGCTTCCACCTAGATATGACTACAGTAATCTGTTCTCAGCCTGATCTGGCTCTTGTTGTAAAGGTAGAGGATAGCACATGGAGCCTGGTACTTACTGGAGCAGTAGAGGGAGCTGACCATTTTACATGTGAGTTTAAAGCCCAATAGTCTCTCAAGGCATGGTGCCTCTCCATATATAAGGTGCGATAGGTAAATTGTCGTCATTTTATATTATTAATTTTGACCATGCACATTTGTTTTTGATTTTGTCGCCTGTACAGTATAGTGGGGTCAGTTGGGCAAAGTCTGTGAGAAAAAGAGCACCATGATGCAATTCACTCTGCTAGAAATTTGGAAACTACATGCTGTACTGCTTGACATTTGCCCCAGATTGCACAAATATGAACATTTCAGAGTGTTATGGTATCAATCTCAGGAGAGTGCAGAGGATTCAGAAACAACTGGGTATGTCTAATGGTGATTATGAAGGTGTTTGGAGAGATCACATGTGATTGCGACATTATGCCTCAATTCATCTTCTCAGAGGACCTCAGACTCAACACAGAGGCCTACATTAAGTGCTTTGAGGAGGTAGTGATGCCCTGGGTCAAGAGGGTGGCTGCTGGAATACCCTATGTCTGGTAACAGGACTGTGCACCATGCCACACAAGCAGGAGATCCTAGTGATGGCTGTTAGACAATTTCTGCGACCACATCACCCTTTAAACTCGGCCACCTAACTCTCCAGACTGCAACACCCTTGATTATTATGTATGGGAGGTAACTGGGTGAGAGACCAACAAAACTCCTTGTAACACCAAAGATGGACTGAAGGCAAGCATTGTGGCAGCATTCACCAACTTAATCAAGGAGATAATCCAGGAGAGTTGCATCTGGAGGTTGCGCTTGAAGCCAATGGGTATTTTATTGAATAAATTTAGTATTTCAAGATATTTTTGTGTAATTTTGGTAAATCTATCAGTTAAAATGAGATATCAGTGTTATTTTAATATTTTTTTTCATAATTTAGACAGCAATTTATCCATCGCAGCCAGTATTTGTGGGTTTTTATATATATATATATATATATATATATATATATATGTGTGTGTGTGTCTCTCTCTCTCTCTCTCTCTCTCTATATATATATATATATATATATATATATATAAAGTGCTGTGTTGATCAATATATCTGATAGGTTCATTTTGGAGTATCATTTTTAGTGTAAATGTTTTATATATATATTTATGTATGTATATATAAAGAGGGAGAAAGAGAGATAAAGAAACTTTCTATAAGCAAAGGAAGGGTTCGTTTTGGTGTATGATTTGGTACTGTTCATTTTAAATAAACTTTCTGTGTGTGTATATATATATATATATATATATATATATATATATATATATATATATATATATGTGCATGTGTGTATGTATAACTATAGTGTCTATCAGCATAACTGAAGAGTTTATTTTGAAGTACTTTTCATACTACTTGTTTATTTTAAATATATATTTTTATGCTATACATAAAAATGTATATTTATGATTGTACACACTTAAATTATTTGTGTAAAAATGTATCTCTTCATGTATATGTTTCTTTTTCAGCTGCTTATTTTATGTATATAATACATACCTTGATGTGTGTACATTCATACACGGTTCTGTGCTTCTTGTTTGCGTATGTGTATACCCGCCTATCTCTGTTTTTTTTATATCAGTGTTGGATTGGAATATGGATGCGTATGTTGTGCAAGACTTCTTCACTTCATTTTCTGCATTGTTATGCTTGTACAAAGCAACGTTTTCTTTTGGCAATGAAAAGCCGTTTTCTTTCTTGCCAACAAATTCCTCTGTGTTTGATGCATTCTGATTCTACCTCGACTGTTCACATTTTGAACAATATGCAGCAATTGTGATTACATAGACCTTGTCTTTCTCTGTCTCTTACTCATCACAAATCTAAATCTTCTCTCTTTATTTCATTTATCTTATTTTTCTTCCTTACTCTTTTCTTTCTGTTCTTTCTTTTCATCTCATTATTATTCTCTTTGTCCCTTTCTCTCTCATATGTTTTATCTTTTTTATCCCTATTTTTCAATTCTCTCCATTTACCTTTTCTTTTCTTCCTTACTCTTTTCTTTCTGTTCTTTCACTTCATCTCATTATTATTCTTTCTATCTCTTTTCCTCCCATATTTTTCTTTTTTCCTATTTCTTCATTTCTCTTTCTTCATTTAGCTTTTCTTTTTTTTCTTTACTCTTTTTTTTCTTTACTCTTTTCTTTACTCTTTTCTTTCTCTTCATCACACTGTTCTTCTCTCTATTCTTTTCTTTTTCTTTTCTCTCTGATATTTCTTCATTTCCCTATTTCTTGAATTCCCTCTATTCATTTACCTTTTCTTTTCTCCTTTTTTCTTTCTTTCTCTTTATCACACTATTCTTCTCTTTGTCTCTGTCTTCTCACTGACATGTTGTTTTCTTCTTTTCACTCTTTCTTCAGTTCTATCTATTCATTTACCTTTTCTTTTTTCTTTAATCTTTTTTTTCTGTCCTTTCTCTACATCACACTGCTCTTCTCTCTGCCATTTTCTTTTTCTTCTCTCCATGATATTTCTTCTCCCTATTTTTTAACTCTATTCATTTATTTCTTCTTTCCTTTTTTCTTTTTCATCACACTATTCTTCTCTCTGTCTCTTTCTTTTTCTCTTCTTGCTGATATGTTTTTTCTTCTTTTTTCTAATTCTTCAATTTTCTCTACTTACATACTATTACTTTTCCTTTCTCTTTTCTTTCTCTTCATCAAATTATTCTTCTGTCTCTTTCTTTTTCCCTTCTCACTGATTTGTTTTTTTTTCATTTTCCTAATTCTTCAGTTCTTTCTCTTCATTTACCTTTTGTTTTCTTTTTTCTTTTCTTTCAATTCTTTTTCTTCGTCACATTATTCTTCTGTCGTCCCCTGTCTCTCCCATGTTTCAATTCTCTCTATTGATTTACCTTTACTTTTCTTTTTAGATCTTTTCTCATTGATTAAAATATGATTCTTATTTATTTTATTTCTTTTTTCCTATCTTTTACTAATTGATTTCTTTTATTCATTCTTTCTTCATCTTTTTTCTTTTCTAATTTTACTTCATTTTTTCTCCTTGCTATTGTTTTTTTCTTTCATCTCTTTTTTTCCCCATTCTTTTCCTTTATTCTGTTACTCCTTGTCAATCCTTTCCCTTCTCTCTCTTCTTTTTAATAATTGTTTAAATGATTACACTCATTTTATTTTTATTTCATATGTTTTTTTTTTCAGTTTTCTGTCAGCGTTTTCTTCCTCAGTTTTCAAAGTTTTATTATCTTTCACATTTTTTCTTTTATATTCCTTTACTTTTTCTTTATATTGATGTTTCTCCTTCATTTTCTTTTTTTACCTTTTTTTATTCTGTTTCTTCTCCATTTTATTCTTCTCCCTTTTTTACCCCTTTTGTAGCCATTTTCTGTTATAAATGTAATATGTTTAAATATTCTCTGCCCAGTTCTGTTTGTTAGTTCAGTTTCCTGGATGGAATTTATGCTGGGATTTTCATTAATTTTTGCAATAAAGACGTATTAGCATTTTCATTTTTTTTTTTCTTAGTTATTAATTTCTCTCACCATGTTGGTGATGAATGATTTAAAACTACTAGACTACATAAAGGTATTTTTATTCCTCCTACAAAATCAACCAGAATCATTCTTCTGATAAACTACATCTTCTTTCGTCGAGGTCTATCAGAAATATTTCCATTCTTTCATCAACTCTTTATTGCAAAAATGTCTGCCTCCTTGAATCCTGTTGTTTTATTTTATTCTCTATTTCTTTCCCTCTCAGTAACCTCTTGCACTCTCATGGCTGTTATTTTATTGTTTGGGTGTGGAATTATTTTTTTTTTTAAATTTAATAATCCTAGCTCTGATAAAATGTCTTAAACACTGCTTGGTTGGGTTTTCTTGTAATTTGAATTTTAAAGTATCTGAACTGACAACTGGGATGTTCAGGTAGTATAAAAGTGGAATTGGCATGACAAGATGTAATTCTAGCCTCATTCGCTGCATTCATTTTTACACTAATACCTGATCAAGCAATGTTGAATAGTGCCTAATAAACGTAAATTTTTCTCAAACTCTTAAAGCATTCATATCTGGTCAGTTTTTTATCCTAACATAAATAAAGCCATATATATATATATATATATATATATATATATATATATATATATATATATATATATATATATATGAATCACACCCAATACAACAATGTCGCAAAAAGCACCCATCTTAGGCACACCAAATATCTTGGGTAAAGTGATTGCCGTTTGAGGTCTTGCAACTTGACAGTTACTTAAAATTATTTCAAGTGTTTGAAACCATCACCATGTAGATTTCAATAATAATAATAATATTCAGTAAGCAATTACAGAATAGTTGAAATGCTAATGTATCTTTTAAGATGTTTTGATGTAAAACTCTTGAATCAGTCAACCATATAAGTCACTTAAACTTTTCTTGATTTATTAAGTATCATAGCTCTAGTTCTCTATTGAGTGCTTTTTGGTGGAAATTCTGCTGGTCTGAAAAATTATGTTAAATTTTCATAATTTTCACATATGTTTTTTTCAGTTATATAATAGTTGGCAGCCATTTATCTCACAAAATAAATGTAATGCTCTGTTTGGTCAAAATTCAGTCCTTTGATGATGAAACTAAAGTGTCCTACCTTGGGTGCAGGCCTTGGTGATGGTAGATGAAGGCCATGCTTTGCCAAGACTGCCCCTTTTGGCCATAACAGCAAGATCCAAGGGAATACAGGGCATTACATTTGGGGCCAGCTTGGTCCAGCTGCTGGGGTTGCTGGAAAATTGTCGGTGTTGATGGCCCTCAGTTTTCATGGCTCCACTTTGGGTTTTCACCACCAGACTTAGTAGCATCCTTGGACATCCATCTCTTTGGTCCAATGAAAGAGGGACAAATGTTATGGTGATGAAGAAATTGAATCTGCTGTAAGGAACAATCTACATCAGCAGCCAGCTGAGTTTTACAAAGCTGAGATGCATGCTCTTATTTGTATGATGGAATAATGACATTGAAATAGGTGGGGACTATGTCTAGAAGTAGGGATGTGGACCTGTGATGTATAGCTATATTTTGATATATGATATGCTTGATATTGTTCCTTGTTTCTATATAATAAAACTAATAGTGTTACTTTTTGACTCACCATAATGTTTGCACCCCAATGCCTCTTTCATTGGACCAAAGAGATGGAAGTCTGAGGCTACTAAGTCAGATGGTGATGAAAAAGTGAAAACTGCTGTAAGGAATTGGCCTGCTGAGTTTTACGAAGCTGGTATTCATAGGTGGAACAATACCATTGAAAGGGCTATGTTGAGAAGTAGGGAGGTGAAGCTGTGATGTATAGCTTTATCTTGATGTATGACATGTTTGATTGTGTTCCTTATTTTTTATATAATAAAACAATATCTGTCCACATTTTTTAAATGAGGTATTGTAACTATTTACACTATTTACATTGTTCAGACTGTTTTCCTCATCTTTATAGCCATATTTAAGATGATTCAGCCATTGTATGTTCTGACCTTCACCAGGTGATATATGTTGGAATTTCAAACCAAACCCTTTTGTGGAACTTTCTTGAAATATTTATTTATCTGTTTAATTCCCACATGGCCCAGTGGATAAAAGCATTGGTTGAGTAATCCAAAAAGTGACTTGATCCAAAGAGTTGTGAGTTCAATACCTGGCCACACCATAAGCAAGAAAAACTTGAAGTGTTGAGTTACTAAAGCAAATTAACTGACACTGAGATATCCAAAAAGGGCATGGCATGTGGAATTAGAACAATCCATCCCCATGGACTAAATAAAGGATTTGTTTAAAATTCCGACATATATCACCTAAAGAAAATTGGCATGTACAAACTTCACAACTAGGACCCAGCAGACCACTTACATAGTAGGGAACCATCAACATTTTCTCCATATTCTACTGGTGAGAAGTTCCACTCAAACACCTTCTTACCACGAACTACTGCCCTGTGGAACAGACTCCCAAGAGGATGTTTCTTCAATCACTAAAATCTTAACCTGTTCAAGTCTAGAGTCAACCATTATGTTCCCCTCCTGTCCATATAAACTATCCCTTGTCATAACCCTCTACTTTGAATGGCCCCTGGGCCTTGTACAGATTGAACTTTACTGTAAAAAAGAAAAAAATATGGCAATGAAGATGACTATATATAATAAAACAAATTGCATTACTCTTTGACTCCCCTCCCTGTAATAACCAGTAGAAGTTGTTTTTTTCTCAAATCTGTGAAAATTATTAACAAATTTAATAATCATAAACATTTTATGCTATTAATTCATTAAACAAACATTATTTAAACAGTGAACTTTTTCCCAATCAAAAAACAAAATATTTAAAACTACTCTTTTTAACTGCAAGAATGTTTTGCATTTATAACTTTTTTTGACTAAAAGACTGTTTTTCTTTTATTTTTTAAGTTCTCTTCCATCTTTGTTTCCTTTTGTTTTGTTCTCTTCCATTTTAATCTCACTTCTATTTCTCTCCTCTTTATTTCCCTCAAACTTTTCACTTTTCCTCTATTCTGTCTCTGTCACTTTCTCATCTCTACTCTCTTTACATCTTTTCTTTCTCTTCTCTTTGTGCATCTCTTAGCTTTTCTCTTTCTCTTCTTCTTTTCTCTTTGCATTTTGTTAATCTTTTCTTTTGTCTTTTCTTCTTTCTGCAAGTATCTTCTCTCCTTCTAATCTGCTTTTATATCTCTCTGACTGCCTCTCCCAATTTTTCTTTCCTTTACCTTTGTGCTTCTCTTTTAACATTTCTCTTTCTCCTCTTCACTTCTTTTATCAATGTTTCTTTTGTTTTTCCAACTCTTCTTCTTTCTGTTTCTCTTGATTTCTTTTGTCTTTCCTTCTTTCTACAAGTATCTCTTCTCCTTGTCATCTCTTTTCATATCTTTCTGCAAGCCTCTCCCTCTACACTCCTTAATCTTTCTATTCTATTTATTCTCTGCTGGAGTGGTTTGCCTTTTCGATTGACGGAGGCGGCATCCTCACTGATATCATCAATGTAGCTGTCTGTTTTATATTATGGCACAATTATGTCTACATTGTGCCGCATCATATTCTGCTTCCTTCTGCTGTTTCCAGGAGACACAAAATGAAATCAAGAGGCTGGTGGAATGGACAAAGGAAGAAGGGAAGGCAAAGAACCAAATTATTTGTGGTGGGGAAAATAGTGGGGGGAGAATGGAGACAATTTACAAGAGGCAGCCACAATGCAGTTTGAGTGAAAATGAAGATAGAAGGAAAGGGGGAAAAGAAAGAACATTGGAGGAAAAGTAAAAGATAGTGAAACAGGTTTGTAAGTGCATTCTTCTATCTGTATTTAAAGGTATGTGTGTGCACGTGGAATTTTGCGTGTACATTATCATCGCACTACAAGAGTTGTCTGCAACTGTTTATGAAGTAATTTTTTTTTTACTGTTGAAACATTACACATGCACTTTCTGTATGTATAGCATTTGGTGCAGCTTTCTTCCAAACTGTATTGATGCAGTGTGTATTAAAGATTTGTAGATATTTATCATCTTCAGTGTATCTGTTTTAAAGTTCAACATTTTACTGATAATCTGTCAATACCAAAATGGACGTGTGGCTGAGTAGTTAAAAAGTTTGCTTTCTGACCATGAAACTGGGTTCAAATCTCACCACAGCCAATTTTTTAGGAAGATGAATTCTTGATATTATCAGCCTAGGAAGATGATCACAGTATATGGAACCATTGAAAAGGGCTTATAAACAATACCTTGGATTGACCCATACCTTGTGAGTGAAACTAGGCAAATAGAACTATTCAGAAGCTGTCAGTGGTCATCTTGGCACGAAGTCCCACTTGATCATGATTGAGGATTTCAGCATACTGACCATGTTCAATTTCTTCATCTTCCTCTCTCCAAAACTAACTATGGTCCACTCAGTATAGTTGTAGTATAAACCACAGGTAAACTTGAACAAGCACAAATGTGCCCGAGCAGGCATCTGCAACAGGGATTGGCTACTCGCTGTACTCAGAAACAAGTAGCCAGTTATTATTAAATATCTTATTGGCACTTTTGCCTGGAAAGTTTCAAAATAATATTAGCTCAAACCCCAGGGGCCCATTCCCCCACCCAGGCAGTACAAAAGGAGAACTGCTGAGGTGGCTTGAGAAATTTTTCCACTGTATTGTTGTTAAACCTACTTTAAATTTGTGTCACATTCAGTAGTGACATAGGCACATTGAAAAATACCCATTATTAAATACCTCATGCTAATAGAGTGCTATAATATGTTTATTTGTATCATGATTGCAATCATGTATCCTGTAACCTATTAGGGTCATACTCGGACAATAGAAGCTGTATGATTTTTGTGTAACTGATATCGATTCAGTATAAGAAATCACAGTGCCAAGTTCAAATTCCAGTCATGTTTGTTACAGTAACATGCACTTTGGGAAAGGTATGACTCTATATCTTCTCCTCGGGATTTGTATTTGGAAAAATTATTGTTGTTCTCAAAAAAATTGTTAATGCAATATTCACTCACAAAAAAAGAAATATCCTTACAATCCAAAATATGTTTCAGTCCCTGTAAAATTTCACTTGCTGCTAAAACTGCTGCAGCATCACATAGCATGTTTGTGGACCTCCCTATACACCACAAAGGGCCTGCAAGAATAAGTAATAAACACAAACTGGTAGTATTTACATTATTCGGACTATTGTCCTCATCTTTGTCACCATATTTGTTTCGGCCATTGTACACTTCGGCCTTCTTCAGTTGGTTGGAATGTCAAACTGAACCCTTTATTTCGCTCACTGGGATAGACTGTTCTACATGCCATGTCTAATGGATGTCACTTATCTCCTGTTAATTCCCCTTTTAAAGTTCTCCACTGCTTTAACCAGGTATTGAACTCACACTCATTGGGTCCTGTCACTGGATCTAACTAACACCTTTATCTACTGTGCCATGTGTCCTTGAGAAATGAATACAATATGGGAACCAATAATAAGGAATGCCAGAGAAAAGCAATAATAACAACAAAAATTGCAATATGAGCTCTGGTAAAAAACATACAATGATAACAGCAAAAATTGCAGTATGATCACTGGTAAAAAATGGTTACTGAAGACATATAGGTTTATAATACCCAGAAATTCATACACAGACATCCTCAAGGACACATGGCACAGTGGATATAGGAGTTAGTTAGATCCAGTGACAGGACCCAAAGAGTGTGAGTTCAATACCTGATTAAGAGGAGTGGAAAACTTTCAGAGGGGAATTAACAGGAGATAACTGACATCTATTAGACATGGCATGTGGAACTAGAACAGTCTACCCCAGTGAGCAAAATAAAGGGTTCAGTTTAACATTCCAACCACCTGAAGAAGGTCAGAGCGTACAACAACTAAAACGTTGTGATAAACATGGTGACAAAGATGAGGACAATAGTCCGAATAATGTAAATAGTGTACATAATATCTCAGAAATATAGACAGATACAAACTGACAAATAAGTAAATATTAATGAAATTATATCACAACATTAACAAAAAGAATTTAACAAACATGAACTTTGATACATTATTTACATCATTTGGACTATTGTCCTCATCTTTGTCGCCATACGTCATCTTATAAATATAGACAGATAATGAACTTTGATGGAGGTAAAAAGGTAAAAAAATTTTAGGTTAAGCATCCTGCTTATTTTTCATATGTAGTGATGCATGCATGTAATGTAAGTGATTATTAACAGATAAAGAACTGCTTACAGTTTTTGTAGTAAGCACAAGGGAATTTCCCCCTTTTTAACATTAGTATATAACAGTATATCAAAAAAGTTAAGCTTGTCTTTGTGCAATCATAGCAGCATTAATGAAAACTAGCCTTCTATGAAATTAACTACAGGTTGAAATACATGAATTAATCTAGAAGCTTGTAAGTTGGATTTGAAATCATTGCTCATATCAAAATAAAATATGTGAAAATGTTAGTTTTCAGAGTTTATATGAATTTTCATTTTTTCTCACAAAAAAGTAATTCAGGTTTGCCATAAGAAGGTTAATACTACTGAGTTTTTCCTTTTTTTATGCAAGGATTTGAATATATATATATATATATATATATATATATATATGTATGAGCTGGTTTGGAGTAGATTCCCACAAAAGATCTTTGAAGTTTATGTTCATTGACTTGATAGTCATATCTCATTTTATTGATGTCTATATAAATATATACTTTTGTTGTCATTCACTTTTTATTCAGATTTGTAGGAAAAGTATCCTCTGCACACCCAGTGAGGATCAATTAATTTCAAGATAAATACCTTTATTACATAATGAAAAACATAGCTGTACTAATATCACTTGTTTTTTTAAAGATTTTTTTCAGTGCAGACCAAACCATTAATTTGGTTCTAAGTACTTAGTCTGGCAAAAGAACACAAGATTGAAGCACTATATTGCTAATCACTACTCCACTGCATGGAATCTCAATATATGGCTATAATCATCAAATTTTAAAAATTAAGGGTATTCAAACTTTCTGAATAGTTTGTATTTAAATGTATGAAATTATTTTGATTTGCAAGTACATTTTTGCAAGAGATTATAGGTGCATTATAGCATATACATTGACACATGTAGGCCTTCTCAAATAAACTTCATGAAAGATACTTTCTTTCTATTTTGCATATATTAGCCAAACCTATAATTTTCACTTGTTTATGCAGGTTCAATATTACTGGCTTAATTTAATAGGATTGATTGATTCATTTTTTATGGATTATCAACCTTTGTGGGTTATTTAAGGCCAAAACATGTTTTTAATTATAAGAATATATTTTTTATCAAGTGAATATTGCATTAATTTTTTTTTCTATATAATGATTTGTCCCAAATAGGAATTCAAACTCCCACTGCCATAATGTACCATTCTGGCACCTTTTCTATAAATACTTTCATGGTAATTGTTTTGATAAAATTTTCTCTGTGGTACCTAGACAATATGAATTTAAGCACATTAATAAATAAATAATGTCTCATCATTTTACAGTTGAATTGTCTAGATGTAACCACAAGTTTTTACTAATGGTTTTTCTCGCACTTCTCTCTTGCAAAACTCTCTTTTGGTGTCTTGTTTTCCAGCCACCTTTGTTCTTCAAAAATTTAGATGAGATGTCAATCATTATCTACTGTCTTCTTGATTCCCTTCCTTTTATTGTTCTCGCCGCTTAATGTTTTTCTTATTCTTTCACACTCAGTAACCTCTTGTGTCATAGTGGCTTTACTGCCCTGACTGGGGTGATATGATAAAAAATATATATAATGCATACCGGGGGGGGGTGGAGAAGAGATGGATTCATATCTTTCCCAAGAGTATTTGTCCATAAGTGAATATAACAAACTCAACTAAGATTCAAACACAATTCTCAAATTTTTCATTGCAAGCCTGTATCCATTGCACCATCTGCACATCCCTATTTAATAGGAAATACTAGCAGTAAGTAATGGTGCAATAATCACATGTTTTCAATATACTCTCCGCTGTTTGTTTTACTTGTGTGCTTTGTACTTATCCAGTTGTTTCCCAGTTGATTTACTTATCCAGTTGATTTAACTTCCCTTTGTTATGCAATCTTTCTTTTTGCTTTTAGCCCATTAGCATCATTAACAAAAGGCAGCTAACACTGTCTAGACAGTAATCATTTTTCTCCCATCACAATATTGTTTTTTTTTCAATTTACACTTATATTTACAATAGTAATGTTAATAGTGTAATTAGCCAATGTGGTCTGCCAGTGACAGGATATTTTTGTCAGGATATCTGACAATGAAAGAAAGCAGAGGAAAGTGGTCTTTCCCATGAGCATTAAAATCAACATCCTCCCCAAGTTTTCCAAGAAATAGAACTCAAGATAAACCTTTCCAAAAGAGAAACTATGATCTGAAATTGGAATGAAATCAGTGATGGTGCCTACCTTGAAACCATCATAAAATTTCAGGATGTGAATTTAATA